AGATTCTCCAGCATCTGCAGTTCCTACTATCTCTGAAACAATTTTAACCCCACTGCAAAGCCTCTTCTAAGGATGCCTACCCTGAAGAAGTTACCCCCCTCCCTCCGCAAAAACCTCAGTGGATCTCTCTCCCACTGCAACTCTCTCGTAATCTCTTCGGCCTTAAAACTGCTCGACCACGTCCTGAAGCAAACCAGGTACTACAGCCACATCACTTTTCTTAGTACCTGCCTACGGAACCAGATCATCCCCAATGGACTACAGTCCACATTCAGGCCTTCCCAATTTGGCCCCAACCGTGACAATGTCTACATTCAGAACAGTGAAATATTTTAACATTAGTTTTGATGTTTTCAAGCTTCTACACTCAATACAGTTAAAATTGCTGTAGCCCTAGTTCTCACATCAGTGCAAGGACTATAGGGTTGCTCTCTCATTAGAGAGACATGACTGGCCATTGTTTAACCTGAGGGTTGCCATGCCTCAGGTGAGGGGATAGATTGGAAGGGAAGTCCTTTATGGTTACTTCAACTGATGCAGGAATTGAACCCACACTGGTGGTATTACTCTGAGTCACAGACCAACTAACTGAGCTAACCAGGCCCCCAACACACCCACTGCCAGAGCCAGGAGAGATCAGCTTCATGAGGGTTTGCAATCCAACTGCTCAGCAATATTCCTTTCAATCCATATTCCTTTCAATCCATATTCCTTTCAATTACTGATTAAGTTGCGTTGATAGTATTAAGATAAAAGATGTTGCTGCATCACCACAGATTACCAAAACGGCACGTTGGCCACCGTGCAATGCTGTCAATCTCTCACACATCTCCCTGTTTTGTGAAAACTGAGCTAAAATAAAGTAAGCTGTTCAGCTAAACTCCTCATTGTTCTGGATTTCCCAAGAAGATTGTGTGAGCTCACAGAGGCCAGCTCCCCATTGATACTGTTATTTAGAGACACCCAAGGAACATAGAAACACAGAAGATCACAAACAGCAAGCTTTTTATTCAACTAAAACAAACATTTTCTTGTGTTACTGAGCAAGTGGCACCTCAAAGGGGTTTCAAAGTCACTAGAAACCAATAACTAAACTATGGTATGATAATTGCAGTATAATTGATTTGTGATTTCATCGTGTCTTTTTATATATTCATGGGATGTGGGCATCGCCAGCTAGGCCAATATTTGTTTCCCATTGTTAATTGCTCTTGAGAAGGTGGTGGTGAGCTGCCTTCTTGAACTGCTGCAATCCATTTAGCATATGTACACCCTCAATACCACTGGGGAGGGAGTTCCAGGATTTTGCCTGAGGAACATTGAAGGAATGACAATGTATTTCCAAGTCAGGATGGTAAGTGTCTTGCAGGTGGTGGTGTTCCCATATATTTGCTGCCCTTGTCGTTCTAGGTGGAAATGGTCATGGGCTTGGAAGGTGCTGTCTAAGGAGCCTTTGTGGATTTCTGCAGTACATCTTGTGGGTGGTACACTCTGCTGCTACTGACCATCTGGGTAGAGTAAGTGAATGGCACCACATCCACACCCAATCAGGCAAGCCACTTTGTCCTAGTCTTGTTAAGCTTCTAGAGTGTCATTGGAGCCACAGTCATCCAGGCAAGTAAGGAATGTTCCATCACAGTGGATACTGAGTTACGATAACACCACTGGGTGAATCGAGTGATGGTAATGTCCTTGAGTGTCAAGGTGCAATGGTTAGATTGTTATGTTATTGGAGACGGTACTTTCGTAGCACTAACAGCAAGATGGTTAATTCCTCCTTGCTCAATTGAAGTCAGATGGCAAATAGCTTCCTAACTAGGCACGCCCATACTCCCAACCACTTCTGTAACTTTATCGCTGCTCAAAAAAATGAACAGCATCAATTCATCACATATCTGTAGCCAACTGGCAATGCAGTGAATGGTGAGTCTGTTTGTCAACATTGGTCTACAGGAGGTGTGAATAGCAGCAGGTGAACAACTGCCATCCAGAAAATTAAAACAAGGCTTGGTCTTGCGCCACCAGCTCCTTTGTCATTTAATCTGTCCTATCACCCACCATAGCTGGGCCTTCCCATTTGCTCTTATGCTATTCTTACTCCTTTTACGGCTTCAAACCTCAGTTCTTATGAAGGTTTCTGAATCTAAAAGTGCTTGAGCACAAAGGTCAAGGGTGACACTCCTGTGCAGTACTGAAGGAATGCTGCATTGGTGAAGATGTCATCATTTTAGGTGAGACATTGAACCAGTTTCCTTTCTGCTAGCTCAGGTAGATGTCAAAGAACCCATGGCAATATTTTTTAAGTTGAGCAGAGCAGTTGTTCCCAGTCTCCAGACTAACTTTGTCCCTCAAGCAACATTGCAAAAACAGATTATTTGGTCATTATCACATTGAAGCTTATGGGACTTTACTGTGTGCATTTTTTTATTCATTCATGGGATGTGGGCATCACTAGCTAGGCCAGCATTTAGTGCCATCCCTAATTGCCCAGAGGGCAGTTAAGCGTCAAGCACATTGCTGTGGGTCTGGAGTCACATGTAGGCCAGACCAGATAAGGACAACAAATTTCCTTCCCTAAAGAACATTAGTAAACTAAATAGGTTTTTCCTGACAAACAGCAATGGATTCACAGTCATCAGTAGACTCTTAATTTCACATTTTTTAAAATTTAATTTAAATTCCACCATTTGCCATGGCAGGATTTGAACCCAGGTCCCAGAACATTAGCTGTGTCTCTAGATTAACACTCCAGTACTAATCCTCACAAGGCCATCACCTCCCTAAATATGAGCTGCTGTACTTCCTGCATTACAATAATTACTTCACTTCAAAACCAATCTTTTGGTAGTAAAGAACTTGAGTTCTACTGAAAATTTTTTCATTACAATCGTCATTACAATTCATCGGAAGTACCAAAGTAAAGGGGAAATGACATTCATACTGTCAAGAGGAGAGTGCTGATTGGTTGGCAGGTGGACTCTGATTCATTCAGGTGTTACCATAGAAAATGCACCAGTTAATGATGACTGGCAGAAAACTGTCAAGCTTTGTTTAAATTTTAAACAAAGCAGATTGCCTCTGATCAACCACAGCATTGCTTTGAGAAGTGAACATTGCACCTGTTTCAATTACAAAATCAGTGATGGCCATTCTCTTGTTCATTGTTCATGGTCAAGATCAATGTTATTTTTCCTTTACTTTGAGGTTTCTTGTGAATTATCCCAACGAGTGCCAGACCAAAAGCTTTAACAAAATGTTTGTTTCAGCAATACTTATAAAGACTCATTTGGCTTAATACACTAAAAGGTATCTGATCGTCATGAAAAACACTTTATAAGTCTTTCTTTCCTTCTTTCTCCCTCTCTTGCAGTTCTTCTCTCTTTTTCTCCTTCTTTATCTCCTTTATTTCTCTCTTTCTTTCATCCTTTTTTCCTTTGTCTCCCTTTTCAGCTGCAGGCGATACAAACCACATTAAAATCAAACTGCTGTTTATTCAGGGAGACAGAAAAACATATGTTTTTAATTGGGTCTTCCTGGGGTCGGTAAATGTGCTGCTAGGTGCCATTTGTTAATATCATCATGTGTTTAAACTACAACAGTGACAGTATTATGCACATTCATGAAATTATCAGCCCAAACATGTGCCATGTATAAAA